CATAACGTAAGTATTCCGTGTGGCCCAGAAAGCAATGCAAAGCCCAGACTGAAAGACCTGAGCATTCCAAGTTAAAGTTGATCCTTGGCTGGCGTTCTCCAAAGGAGCCAAATTGTTAGCAATGTGTCAGCAAAGTAACCATGCCAGGTGCTGCTCAGTGCAGGACTCAGAGCATTGTGGCTGTAACCCTATTACCCACTTTCAGAGAATTAGGGCCACATTCTTTACTGCAACCCTTCCACTCTTATTTATTATACTTCTAAAGACTGAAATGTTCTCATCTGTTACCTATGTTTTCCATACATAGGTATGGAAAGATGATATGTGGAGAGAAAAAATAAAAGAGAAGCTGTAAATTTTTCTCCTTATTCTTAAGTCACTTTTATTTGCTTACTCACCCACCAAAAATACTTGCGTGCCCACTACATGGCTGGCACTGTCGTGGAAGCTAGAGGAAAACAGTAGGATGGAGGAGGGGAGGGCTAGAGGAGAACAGTAGGATGGAGGAGGGGAGGGAGGGGAAGGCAATGGCCAATTCCTTGCACTCAGAAAGTTTCTATTTTAGTGATTCAGACAGTAAACATGGAAATCAATAAAAGACTATATGATAACCTTTGCTAGTATGAAATGATGTTTAAAAATGAATAAGATAAGAGGGTTGAAAATGTCATGGAAGTGGAGGCTATTTTAGGTAAGGTGATCAGAAGGCCTCTAAGAAGATGTAACACTATGCTAGAAGCCTGAATAATAAGGAGCCAGCTAGGTATACGATCTGAGAAGATATTACAGGCAACATGACTATTTATTTTTATTTTCCTTTGTCTACAGTTCATACATTATCCACAACCTATAGCAGCCGCTCTCAGACTTGAAGGTAAGGGAAAAAAAGCAATAGTGCAATTTTCTCTCCAGTGGACAGATAAGGAAAGAAGTTCACTCAAATCACTAAAATGTACTCATGGTCATTTGGTCCAATAATTCTGGGGTATGCACCCACTGCCATTGAATTGATTCTGACTCATCATGACCTTACAGGGCTGTGTATGACTGACCTGTAAGGTTTCCATGGCTCCAAAGTTTGTGAGTTCAAACCACCCCCACCTTTCAGTTAGAAGGCCAATACTTTAACTCATTCGAACACCATGGCTCCTTCTGGGGTGCTTACTACTTGAATGTGATCTAGAAGGGAGCACCGTTTCAGGATGGATATGTTCCTATAACTCTACAAACGCCTTGATGATTGGGCTAAATTTAGCTAACAGAGGGCTTGAGCAAGTCCTTCTACAGCTTGAGCCCTATGACAGGGCCCCCATTGCTCAGCTTAGTGGGCAGGACCTTTGTGACGCTGGCTAATATGATCTACTCTCATAAGGAAACTTTGATGTACAGTCCTTTTAATTAGATAGGAAAATCTGAAGGTTACATGGCATCTAAGCAGCAGATTAATTAGCAAATGATCTCTAGGATAGAAAAACTACCCAAGACATATTCTAAGACAGGAAGCATTCAGATAAAAGGGAGGCATAAAATGCAATTTAGTCTAGCAGCAAGTACAGAATAATGTACCAGAAATTGGAAGGCATAGGTTTTGTGACCTAGATATATCAATTATCACCTTTCAACTCCATGCAAAGGGGAACGGGGACATTTTTGAACAAATCTTGCAAAGAACTTTAAATTAGGTGAAAAAGCAACGTCGTTCTGGAGTTCATATCCTTAATGCCAACATTGTGAATCTATTTAATTTCACTGAATATACTTAATGTCCACTTAAGAAGGTAAAGAACTAAATTTCATTTCTTTACCACAATAATTATTAAAAAGCAAATTATGTCTAGAGCTCTGTTGTTGCTGTTGTTGTTGTTGCTAGGTGCCGCGGAGTCTTCTCTGATTCCGAGTGACCATCTGTAGAACCGGATAAAATTACTGCCGACCCTTCAGCAGCCCAATGACGTCTGCAATGTCTGAGCTGTTTCCGTTGATCTCACTGAGGGGCTTCTGTTTTCTTTTTTGGCTGAGCCTAAACTTTACCAACACAACGCTGTTCTCCTGAAACAACTCGCCTGAGAACCTGTTCAATCTATGAGCGGCTGCCTGTCATTACTCCAAGAGAAGTATGGTTGTTCTTCCACTGGTTCCCGATCTATTCAACATTCCCCAGCACTGTAACCCAAAGGCAAGAATTCTTCTTGGGTCTTCTTAATATAGTTACATGTTTCACATACATAGGAAGTAACTGAAAATCCCATGGCCTAAGGCAGATGCGCTGTAGTCCTCAAAGAACATCGTTGCTTTTTAATCCTTGTAAAAGATCTTTGGCAGCGTATTTGTACACTCAATGTGTCGCTGGGTTTCTTGACTGCTGCTTCCACGGACATTGAGTGTAGTCCCAAGTAAAGCAAAATCTTCGACCGCTTCCATCTGTGTGTGTGCTTCTCCAGATGTTGGTCATTCGCCCAGTTGTGAGGATTTGGGGTTTTCAGGACACTGAGATGTCATCAGACTGCGGGCTGCACTCTTTGATCTTCAGGTGCTTCAAATCCTTTTCTCTTTCAGCAAATGGTTCTATCACCTGCATATCACAAGTTGTGAATCAGCCTGCCTCCAATGCTGATGCAAGCATTCTTCTTGATGGAGTCTAGCTGCTCCGCTTCCTTGTTAGTTAGTGTTCGTATGGCAGGAGCCTGCCAAAAGGATACAGCCCCGGTCCCGACCTTGTTCCATCTCAAGCTCTCAGTGCCCCCTCGCTCTGTTCCGGCAGCTGCTCTTGTTCTCTGTGCACATACTTTATGAGCGCAAGGAAGGGTCTGGGACTCCCTTTACTTGTGATGTTATCCACAGTTTGTTAGAACTGCAACTCAGGTCAACATTTTGGGGGGATTTTCTGCTTTTAACCAAGGTCCCTGTGAAATCAGCAATGATCATGTTCATTCCCTGTCCTCTTCTGAATCTACCTTAAACTTGAGGCAGCTCCGTGCCGGAGCCCGCCGGCAGAGCAACGGGGACTCGATTGAGGGGGTGAGGACTGAGAAAAGACAGACACAAAAAAGCTGGGGTCAGGAGGACTGCAAGTCAAGACTGCAGCCCCGAGTTTATTTTCCAGCAAGCTTTGATACACTGTTAAGCGGGAATGTACTATTGCTCAAAATAGCACCCCCATCCTTGTTCTTGTTTGTCTGGCAAATATTTTTCCCAAGGCTAAGCACCTGATGTTTCCAATAACATTAAAGCACAAAAGTCAATCTGACCATGAGAGAGACGATCTGACCGTGAGAGAGCTGTGTCTGCACGTCCACATTAGAACGAACAGACCTCTGCTTTCAGAGCCGCTCCCAACAGCTCCCCAGCACTGTGCTGCTGCAAGCGGTTTGTAAATTTCCTCAGTCAAATTAGACTTGTTTGTGACATTAATGATATTGTTTAATAACGCCTTTAGAATGACTTGATATGAATCGCATCTGGTTGGCTGGCCAGGTAGCTGTCCTCAAAATTTATAGGAATAGCCAAGTGAGTACGTCAAGTGTTCCAACTATTAAGTGTCTCAATTGGTATGGGATCAATTCCTGGAGCCAATGCCCTCAGTGTGGCTTGGCCTCTTTCCATCAATACATCAGTTCTTGATTATACACGACCTCCTGAAATGGTTGAATGGTGACCAATTGTTTTAAGAACTGTTATCTCTGTGTGTTCCATTGTCTTTTGATACTTTCTGCATGAGTCAATATTTTGCCCGTATTGCCCCTATTTTCAATACTGCAACTAAATACTTGAATTTTCTTCAATTCGTTCCGCCTGAGAAATGTTGTGTGCTCTTCCCTATGGGTTTTCGAACTCCAGGTTTCTGCACATTTTATTACAATATTATCAATACATACTGTATTTGTAATCCAATATTTTAGTCTTCTCAAACTGTCCTTTGAAATCTGTTTAACCCTTTTGCTTCATCATTGCTTCCATTCACTTTAGCGACTGTTCAATAGCAAGCTTCACAGTCGCTCCAGATATCCACTTTGGTCCTTTCTTGATTTTGTCTCCCCCCACCCCCCCCAAAATAATATTTTTATTGACATGTCTTACTCATTGCAATATTTCCCTTGATTTTCTGTCTTTGTAATGACCTTTTCCTTTCTTCACGTACGATGCCCTTGATATCATCCCACAATGCATCTGGTCATGAATCATTAGCATTCCATGCACCAGGTCTACTTTTGAGATGGTCTCTACATTCAGCAGGGGCATAGCCAAGGTCAACTTAAAACAGAAGAGAATACAAAAAAGAAGTAAAGAAAAAGGAGGGAAGCTCAGAAGTGAATACTTCACATTACCAGGTATGACAGGATGTTGTGAATGTCAAAAGTGAAAGACAGTAGCAAACACATGATTATGTTATTACCAATCAATCCTACTGCCCGCCCTTGTGTTACTACAATGCACAGTGCCCCGTGGGACAGAGGAGAACTGCTTCCACAGGCTTTTCCAGGCTGGCATTTTGAGGGAAGCAAACAACCACATCTTTCTCCACAGAATGGTTGGTGGGTTCACACCCCCAATGTTTGGGTTTATTGCCAAGTGCTTCACCACTGTGCCACCCTGGCTCCTTTTGTAAAAATAACAGCTTTTAAATTCTAGAGAGAGAAAGAGATTTATGTAAATGCATGGATATATATATATTCAACTACAAAATGGAATTATAGGTGATTTTAAAATTGCATTTGTTTTTCTTCTTTTATTTTTTAGTCATTTAAAGAATTTTGACTTTTATAATGAAAAGCTAAATTCCCCCATACCCCTGTCCTCCCTCCAATGAGGATGAAGCTAGAGTTGTGGCTATTGGTGCCTTGCATCCTTCCTGTTTGAGTCAATCCTACAGACCAACTATCTTCTAGTTAGGTGCAGGGGCACCCAGCACATGGAGTAGGATAGATACGGAAAGTAAACCTGGTGATATAAACTCAATACACACTTGTTGACTGGAAAAATTATAGCAGAAGAGTCTTCCGTTGTGTATCCTGGACCCAAGTTCTATTTTAAACTTTAGGACAATCAAGTTGAGCGATAAGCGAAAAAATTGGAAATAATTTTGATTGCCTAACACTACAAGGACATGGAATTCTACAGTGCCTGAAACTAATTTTACTGCCTGACTGTCACCTGGGGGTTAAAGTCACACATTTGATTCGATACAACCTTGATGCCGGAATTGAATTGGGGCAGCCCAGATAGCCCCTTCTGCTTCCCACTGAGATCAAGATTGTCACTGTATGACAAGCACAGCAGCATGACTTCACACTATGCTTATCTGTCTTTTGAATAATCACCTTCTAAGGGACTGGAAAGCCAAGGCAGTGTAATTAATCTAATCAATTCACTACTTAAAGTAAATATATGCTACATCTCATTTTGCCCTTAGCACAGCTGAAGTTTTAGATATCTGTAAAAACGACAGCCTTACCTTAAAACAAAGCAATTAATTCCTCAATAGATTTTGGTTCCCATTGACCAATCCCACAGCTCTATGTAGAAATCATTTGCGATATTCCCAGATTTGTGTTTGCAAAGAATGAATGCCCTCAAGTTGTATATCAAGTGAATACAAAGAGGAGTATTATTTTGTAAAGACTGGAGAAATTGTTCGATTCAGCTGAGATTAATATAAAAACAGGCAAACCCCAGCAAAACAAAGGGCAATCATTCTCATTATTTCCTCAAGCAGAGAACATGGGGTGATCCCCAAATATCAAAAAGAATGTCAGCATCTTGCTTCCCATGTAACACACCCATAAGTCCACCCGTGCAAAGCAATGATCATGAATGTTACATTCATATGGAGTCACGAATTCAGCTCTAATGCACACACGAATGGTCTCATTCATATTTAAATATAAATGGTGATGACTTTTGTTTCTCAAGTGCCATGCATCCTCCTGCCATGATTTTGAGATCAATGGAAAATTTGCGAGGTGAGTATGTGAGGTAGTTAGTTTATTGTGCCAACCTGGCCGATAAACACATGTGGGGTTAAATGAAGGGCCGAGGGATAAATGGCTCAGTGAGCCTCACCTTTCTTGTTCTCGGGTCTCTTGCTTTGTGATGGTCAGGCCAGTTCAGTGCTTTGGCTGGCAAGGCTCACTTCCTGCAAGATGTCCCCAAAGAGAAGCCACAAGGACCTACCCCAATGCAGCCCTGGGTGCTGGAGCAGCCGTGTGGAGACCCCTGCCAGCCCTGAGATGCTTACACGTTCACTGATTCGGCTTTCCTCCTGCAGTCGGCGTCATAGTGTGTGCTTTGTGAGTTGAAGGAGGACTTTTTGGATTGGTGTCAGACATAAGGGTTAATGTTGGACTTCTGGGCTTGGGATGTTTTCTTGATGTGCACTTAACCTTTATATAAAACTCTCTCTTATACCTGAGTCTCTGTGGGTTTGTTTCTCTAAAGTACCCAGACTAACACAGCATGGGAGTTCAGAGTTGGATACCCCCCGCCCCCCAATACTTTTAAGTGCATTCATTTAATTTTCTCTACAGGTGAGTGAAACTGAAGAGATGAGCTACCTGTCCACCAGGTGAGTGAAACTGAGTGCCTTTGGGCAGTGGGTTCACTTGTGGAGTTGGGTGACTCTGGGCACTAATTGGGGTAGCTAGGTGGCTTCAGGGTCAGGCTTAGAGCAAAGGAGCGTGCCCTTTAAGCACTTACTGGCAGTGGTAAAAGGGTTTTGTAACATTTCAGGGCTCAGGCTGAGGGTGCATGTGATGGAGACAAAGGATTAGGGTGGCCTGCCTAAGGATATGACGGAAAAGAACTATATCCAGAGCATTTCTGATCCCACATTATAATCTGTTAACTGCTTTAATAGACCCCCATCATCGTGAATATGGTCTCTGAATTCTGGGTGGTCACTGCAGTGAATTGCAGCATCACATTGACAGGGAGCTGCCAGTTCAGGACGGATTCAGAACAGGATGGAGAATCAGGGATATCGTTGTTGATGTCAGATAGATCCTGGTCCAAAGCAGAGAATACCAGAAAGCTGTTTATTTGTTTCACTGACTATGGCAAGACATTCAACTGTGTGGACCGTAATAAACCGTGGGTACCCTTGAGGAGAATGGGAATTCCAAAACACCCCATTGTGCTAATTCAGAACCTGTCCATGGATCAAGAGGCAGTTGTGCAAGCAGGGAAAGGGAATGCTGCATGGTTTAAAATCGGGAACGGTGTGGCTTAGGTTTGTACCCTCTCACCATACTTTCTGTGATAGGTTTTTGTGTGCCAACATGGCACCTGTAAATAGGGGTGAAGTTTAGCTTGCCAATCAGCTTGTAGTCTGATGACCTCCCTTGGAGATGCAACTCATAACTCTCTGGAGGGTGTTCTCTCTCTCTCTCTCTCTCTCTCTGTCCCTTCACGTTCCTGCTTGCGGACCACCCTGAGAGCTGCTGGAGCCCTGCTATGTTTTCCACTGACCTTGGATGCACACTCCGGCCTGTGTCTTCCTGCATGCTACACCATCGCATGTGGCTGCATGCGTCTGATGGGGACCTATGGACTAGGATTGGACGTATGGACCTGAGTTGGACTGGGATGGAATGTTTTCTTGATATGTAACTACGTCTTGATACAAAGCTTTTCCTGACACACATATGAGTGTGATTGATTTGTTTTTTTAGTCAATATGGCTTAACACATGTGCCACCTGTGCTAGAGAAGAAATGTGCTGCAGCAGGTTTTTAATGGCTTCTTTTTCAAAAATGGATCACCGGGCCTCTCTTCTGAAGCATCTCTGAGTGGACTTCACCTTCTACCCTTTTGGTTAACGGTTGAGTGCATTAAGTTTTGGTGTCACTCAGGGACTCCAGATGGGTGGAGGATGGACAGATAGATAGCATGAAGCCCCTTGGTGAGGAGAAGTCAGATGAAAGTCTCCTATACTAAGCCCTCCACCAGGTCCCCCAGTAGCACAGACTTAGGACAAAGACGGGCCCTGACTGGGGTGTCTGTTCTATTTCCTTTTATCCGGAGTCTAACCATAGACCTGATACTGAGGGCAGGGTTCTTTTGCAACCCAGACACTGAAATTGTGGCAGCTCTTAAACACCATCATCACCCTCTGAAATGTTTAGCAAACAGCTACTTTGGTCAGGGCAGGGAGTCCTGTGACTGTCCCCCCTGGGAGAAAATACTGCCCCAAGTCCCCGGGCAAACGGTGAGAGGTTGGCGTTTTCTTTCCCGACTTCAGTCGACGGAGGCAAACCAAACGTTTTCTCAATTTGTGGGCTCGTCCCTCACCTCAGAAACCACTGACAAGGCAGGCTTCCAGCAAGGTGGGCCTTGACAAAACTTGTAGGTCAGAGCACACAAAAACCTGGAGTGGGGCCTGATGGGTTCGTGCTGGCTGGAGCTTCTGCCAGCCCTTCCCGGAGAGAGGCGAGGCAAGGCCCCAACCCCAGCTTCCTGGCAGCCTTCCTGTGTACCAAGGCAGAAGGTTGCCAAATCATTTTGCTCTCCCTGAACTCATGACGCATACCCACCAGAGTACATTACAGGAGCCCTGGGGCTGAGACCCAATGAATGGGACAGAAAGCCCATTTCTCTCCTTGTCATCAAATGTGGCACAGTTTCTCTCTGAAGACCTCGAAGCTGCGGCCTCCCCTACCGTGCTATGTGACCTGGATGCCTGACCCTGGAGTCTGGGCATCGGTGCTCATGAAATTGTGATGTGGTTACTGCACCTGGGGACCGCCAGTCAATTCCGTGCATACAGGACAGAGGAAAAGGCAAACCTCAGTCCTGCCCTGGCACTAGCACTGTTAGGCCTCAGCTGGGCCGGCCTAAACCACAGTTCCAACAACCCTACAGAGTCTTGGCAATTTAAGAAAGGACCCTCAAAATTCTAGCACCTGATGAGAACATTCCGGGGCAGCTCTGAGACAACGGAAGTGGATCTGCCTGCCCGGCAGCGATGCTTTCTCACAGAGAGCGGTCCAGGAAGGACTGATGGCATGAAGGGCTTCAGGAATTGCTCTTGCAGTACAGCAATTATTGACGGTCCAGTGGTTTCCCAACCCCCTCGTGAATAAAGGAAAGCAAGTGCTCCATTGATAGAAGGAGGGGGAGAAGAAGCCCAGGCCACTTCCAACCAGAAGGCCCTGGATTCCCATCCATGACATTTAAGGATTATTTTTGCCACAGAGCCAAGTTCTTAAGAAATGTGTATTTCCCTCCCCACCCCACCCCTTGATGTTCTAAGCTATCATTTTAATAATCCAACTACTTCTCTCTTTTTTTCCTATTATCTCATAAAAAACAAAGCCTTTCTCTTATTTAATACCGAATTATTTAGTCTGCTAACCCATGGTTAGCCGTTGGGAACCTCCAGCTACCGCTCAAGACAGAGATGTGGCTTTCTACTCCATTGAACAGTGAGGTCTTGGAAGCCCACGGGCTCAGTTCTACCCCATCCTGCAGGGTCGCTCTGCATCAGAATCGACTCCAGGGCCATGAGTTTGAGACCCCACTGCCTGTATCATCCTGTATCCCTTAGGAAACCGAGGCACATGTCCATTAAGTGATAGTAAGGTCTCAGAAAAAAGTATCTGTTCAAGTAAACCCATGTCTGTGTCTCTTTACAAAGGGAATGTTGGCTTTCTTCTGATATATCCTCAGCTCATGGAGTGGATTAGGATGACCTTTATGTCACCACATTTCTATGCCTACAAGAGAACAGTGTACGCTAATCAAACATGCTGTTCAAAGCTTCATTCAATGAAAGATGAGTAAGGGAAGGAAGTAGGAAAGGTAATTAACATAACACTGAAGTTTTTATCAACTTTTTGGGGGGGAGAGTTGGTCTCCATTACTCAACCGGAAGCCCTTTAAAATGGGGTTAAATACACCATTATAAATCTTTATATATTTACATATATGCATATCTATATTTATACCTGTATGTACAATTTTTACTCCTCTTCCTTTTTCTCTTTTCTTTCTTTCGGCTCCAAGACGTTTCACCATCGTTCACCTCTCCGTAATTCCTCTTGGACACATTTCAATTCATCAAACACCACCGGGAATGATACACCCTCCTTACCATCAATTTTAGTCCCCTTGCTATCCCCCTGTCCCTATTGTCATGGGCTTACCGCTCCCTCCCCCTGCCTTGTTCCCTCGCATAACTCTGGGTCCAGTCACTGTCTCCTTGGGCTTCCTTATCCTACCTATCTTAAATAGACAGACACCAAACGACAAAAAAGAAAAGAAAGACCATATATATATAGATAAATACATAAAGGTAGATGTATTTATCCATTAATATATATGTGTAAATACAGTAAGGACTTTGGGCCTCTACTCAAATCTCACCTGAGTACAAGAATGGTTTGTTCTAATAATGTGGCAATGTATGTCACTCACTTTCCCGACACAATCGCGGACGACAAAATGGGTGCAAATGTGGTGAAGAAAGCTGATGGTGCCCCGCTATTAAAAGATAAAGCGTATGGGGGTTTAAAGGCTTGAAATTAAACAAGAGGCTATCGAGCAGGGAAACAAAACAGTCCACAGGGAAGAAGCACAGCAGCCTGTGTGATCATGAGGTGTCGACAGGAACAGGTATCAGAAGGTCAAAAACAAGCAATAAAAGGAGCATGGACAAAGTGAAGCGCCAAAGCCACCTGTTGGATAATTGGGCAGTCCCTCTCAGAAGGGCCACACGGGAGGAATGATATAGCTAGGGTGTTGTATAACACAGTTGAACCACATAACTATCCTTTAGTTCAGTGGTTCTCAACCTTCCTAATGCCGCAATCCTTTAATACAGTTCTCCTCATGCTGTGGTGACCCTCAACCATAAAATTATCTTCGTTGCTACTTCATAATTGTAATTTTGGTGCTATTATGAACCGGGCGACCACTGTAAAAGAGTCATTCAACCCCGAAAGAGGTTCAACCCCCACAGGTTGAGAAAGGCTACTCTAATTCTTTAATATTTCCTCCCCTTAATATCATGGTCTTTGTTATCTAATTAATATTATTAGACCTGCATAGATTCATTTACATAATTAGTATCATTTGATGCATGAAAGCCAAGATAGGTAATCCTTCGGAAACAGTAATAGGAGTAATGATTCCCTGAGGGCATGGGAAGGGTGTCTGTGCGTGTGTGATAGCAATGATGACTATCCCCGCGTGAGGGGAACGAATGACAGATTTACAGATGAACAGATATACATTGGTTGTTGTACGATAGGACAAAAATTAATAAATATTACAATACATATAATAATAAGGGTTGAGGGGCCACAGGAGAGGGAGGGACTAAAGGAGAGCTGATATCAAAGAGTTCAAGAAGAAAATGTTTCAAAACTGATGGTGGCAGCAACTGTACAATTATGTGTGATCTGATAGAATTATGAGGGGTTATAATATATGTAAGAGCTTCTAAAATGATTAAAAATAATAATAAAATAGGGTTAAGATGGAATGAGTAGTCTGATAAGAGAAGAATAAAAACCTGAATCAGGCAAAAGCATTCTGAGATACACTGGGCATATATATATATATATATATATATAAAAGAACAGATAGCAAGACCATAAACAGATTATTTGGGTACCGAGGTTCACTGCAGCACTATTCCTAGTAACTGAAAGATGGAAACAACCTAAATATACATCAACAGATGGACAGATAAGCAATATATATTGCGTGTGTGTGTGTGTGTGTGTGTATACATGGCTCAACCATAAAGAGAAATGAAGTTCTTGATTTATGCTACTGAATGATCTGTGAAAATACTGTGTCATGTGGAATAAGTCAGCACAAAAGGGTAGCTACTGTACAATCCTACCTACATGAAGTTTGCAAAAATATAAAACCACTGTGGCTATTACATAGTATGGCGTCAATTTGGGACTTCAGAGGATTAAGAGTGAAGGGGTGGAGTCTAGTCTGTTAATCAGGTCATAGCCAATGAGGCCTCTGTGTGGGTGTGGCCTTTCCCTGAGGATTCTGGGAACTCCTGTATTTCCTCCTTGGAAGTGGGAGTATCTCTCTCTCTCCACACTCTCTTCTTTCTCTCTCTCTCTCTCCTCTAACTCCCTAAGAGACATTCCTGAGAAGCCACATGAAGCTACCCTGAGGCAGTCAGTTTCAGAGCTGAAGGAACCATGTGGAGACCCCTGCTGGTGCTGAGATATTACAACACCACTGGATCCCCAAGACTTCCCATTCACTGGCCTGTGATCTCCCTGCCTTTGGCGTCATTACATGTGTTTCGTGAGTTTTTAGAGGACTTTAAGGATTGGTATAAGATATATGGGCTAATATCGGATTTATGGACTTGATCTGGACTGTGCTGGGATGTTTTCTCAATATTCAATTGCTCTTATATATAAACCTCTATCTTATACACAGATGAGTGTCTATGAATTTGTTTCTCTAGTCCACCCGGACTAAAGTACACCCCCAAAATCAAACCCACTGCCACAGAGTTGATTGTCACTCATAGCGACCATATAGGACAAAGGAGAAGTGCCCCCTAGGCTGTACACCTTTATGGAAACAGACCACCACATCTTCCTACAGAGATGGGCTAGCACTGCAGCCAAGGGTTTAACCACCGTACCACCAGGTGCCCATAGAGATAAAAGTGGACTAGCGGTTACCAAGGACAGGGAAAGGAGAAGACACTGCTTAGGGCGCCACGAGTTCCTGTTCACAGTCATGGGATAATTTGGAAAAGAACGGGGATGGTGGTTGGACATCACACGCTACATATGCCAAAATAACGGAATTAGCAAAAGGTTTATTATAGATTTATATACAATTATCCATTTATGTTATTCATTTTATATATTATGTTTATATTGATACACTGTCTACGTATATTTTACATACACACAGACACCCTCCCACAGAGACACACTGAACTGGGATTCAGGAGTGCTAAAGCACATAGCCTTTCCTCTCTGATTCCAGTTCCCTAAGTACAAAATCCAGGGATTGAGCAGGCCCATTTCTGTACAGCATTTCTACTCAATTACATTCAACAGAAAGCATTCTATTTCTAAAAAGAAAAGACAGCCAGCCTCCAAGCTTCTGTGATACCATGTGGTTAGTAAAATTCCATTAAGTCTCTGAAAACGTCATGCCTTTTGTCTAGCACTAAGATGTTCTGAATTAACCTACAAGCATTACATACGAGATCTCACACATACACAAATTGTAACGGCTTAAGATTTTTGGTTTTTGTTTTCCCGTTTTCTCACTTTGTGCAAACAAAATTTCCAACTTGTTTTTTCTAGCGGAATAATCAGCAGTAGTCTTAGTATGATAGAAGACAGGAACCCAGAAAAACCACTTTCTGCTTTTGTAAAGAGTTGGGGTCTCAGAAGCACACGGGGTCAATTCCACCCTGTCCAATAGCATCCATTTGAGTCGGAATCCACTGGATAGCAATGCAGTTGCGTTTGGTTTTGTTTTCTGTGCCCTTCCTAGCATTTGATAGAGTGCCTGCCTGATAACAGATATTTGGTATTTGCTAACGGAATTAATTTATTTTTATAATGTGGACAAACACTCTTGATATACTCAGACCAGTTGAACAGTTCCTCAGACTGACCGGTCAACAACACTCCTCTGATATGGCTGTTCCTTTGGAAGCTTTCAAGTCCGTATTATTCAAGACACATTTACTGAGCACCTCTTAGTGGCTAGACTCCTTGGGGGCACCAATGATTCACATTCTTGACTGCTAACTGAAAGGCTAGAGGTTTGAATGCACTCGAGGTGCCTCTGAAGAAAAGTCTGTAATATTTCCTTTGGGTTTCTGAAACAATAATGCTTGCGGGAGTAGAAAGCCTTATCTTTCTCCTGGAGAGGCTGGTGCTTTCAAACTGCTGACCTTGCAGTTAAGAGCCCAACGCATAACCCACTATGCCATCAGGGCTCGCTCCATCATGACAGAACTGGGAAAGGGGTGTGTTTCTCATTTGACTGAAGGCTGGTCCCTGCCCTGAAGATGCTCACAGCTCAGTGGGAGAGTTACTGTAATAACATACAGCACATGCTTTAGGAACAGAGGATTCTGGGTGGTAACTTTTGGCTCTAAACTGTTCTATTGGGCAATCTTTACAATGTTTTAGCCCATCAGTAGGGGGGGCAAAGGGGCCATTCATCTTCTCACTTCACAAACAGCAGAACTGAGAATGAATCTAGGCTTCTAATTTCAGAGTGTGCGCTTATGGCTACAGTGGAATGTATGAAGTGGGTCAACAAGACACACAGAAGTGTGCCAGACCCTAATCCTAAAAGAATGCTTTTAGGATGAAACAAGTTACATAGTTGCTTCCTGTCTTTGGCTATAAAGTATCCTCCTCCATTTGCAGTAAGACCAGAGAGAAAATGGACCTCCCCTGACTTCACAGAGACTGTCTTTCGATTGAAGCAGACTGTGACCAGGTCAAGACCTCCAAACTATGGAAGGCAGAAAAAGTGTACCTTTAATTGAAAGATACAACTTGCAGAGATGAATGGCTTCACCTTATACACGGTGGTAAAAATAGAGTGGACAAAACCAGATGGTTCTTCATTTAATTTTAGGCAGCAGTACTTTCTCTGTGACCCTGTCTAAGTGATTGAACGTCTCTAATTATCGGTTTCCTCATCTATAAATGGTGATACAGACTCTAGTTTAAAAGCTGTTACAAAGCCCAAGGTAAGTGTGTGGGAGAAAGAGTGCCCCTTTCCTAAACAGCGGCACTAGCATTACAAAATTGTCATCTCTCTTTATTGACAAGTCAAAGGGACACATTGCTGAGGTTAAAACATGGACAGGTTCACTGGCAATTAGCAAAAGGTTACCGAAATCTACAAAAGTACTAAAAACTTGACTACTTTCAACAGAAGAACAGAAATTGCTCACATTCCGATTAAATTGGGATGTGGAGTTGCTCTTTCTTGGAGCTCCAAGTTGACATCGTCCCACAGGGACTCCAAATGACAGCGTAGAGCTGCCCCAGAGGGTTTCCTTGATCTCAGTCTTCATGGAAACAGATCCGCGGGCCGTTCTCCCCTGGAGAAGCCCTGGGTGCCTACAGCCCACCTCTCAGTTACCAGCCGCGCGCGGGCTCACTGTCAGCCCCTTTCCCCCTCTCCCCGGTAGTTCTTAAAAACCCATTACTGGGGGAAGCCTTGCAGGTGACAATTATGGTGTCATTGTTAATACATCTATGGTGAATGCCAGTTTCCTCACAGTCCCCAGAATATGATGAAAATGCTGGCATGCTTACATCCCATCCATCTTTATAAAGTCTCCACCGGGCACTGGGCCAGTTTGGAAACAATCTGGTGAGACCGATTTCTGTAAGCGCATCTAGAGAGTGCATTCCCTTCTCTGACTTAGGTCCAAGATGAAGAAACAAGTGCCCTTTCCAGCTCCGTCTCGGCAGAGGCTAAGGAGGTATCCAAATCATTCACCCAGGAGCAGCTATAAGATGCACCGGCCGATACAAGGGCTTTGCCCCAAGAGCAGCCCACACAGGGTCAAGGGCAAACACCCTGTGGAAGGGCCTGTCTCCTTTGTCTGTACTGCACACGGGTGTGCCTTCTTTCTCTACGCTGCCCCTGATGGTTTATATGCCGGAGGGGGCTGCCTAACGGTAAAAGCCCCACTCCTAGCTCTGAGTGTCTCCTCCCGCGGCAGCTGCTGTGGTTCAGGACTTTGTTCTTCTTAAGAATCCCCTCGTATTCTGAAACCCCTGCCTCAAAGAAGCAAACAGCTGTTTCCCTGCATTCCTTAGTCTTTGCTGTGGACACAGTTGGCCACAGACCGGGAAAGTCACCGGTACACACGTCAGGCTGACAGCAGTCAGACAACTAACGGCCTTGGCTCTGCCACCGACTTTGCCTTTGGGACAAGGATCGTGCAGCTCAATGCCAGAAACCACTCTACAGATGTGCTTGTGACAGAAAAGGTGAGAGCCCATAGCTTCTTCTCAGCCTAGTCTTTTTACCACTATTTCAACTTTGCCCTACGTAATACTTCATGGTTGACTTTTAAGCACGACTGAATCAGTTTACATGATGGGTTCTACAAAAGGAGAAAAAGCGAAAGCACCACAGACACAGAATCGGTTCTGACCCAGAGCAGCCTGATTTATATAGGGTTACCTGGGCTGGAAATCCTGCCTAGCACAGATCGCCATCAGTCTTTCTCCCGGGGCTGGTGGGTTTCAAACTGAAATTCTACAGCTATGAATAACAAGTGGGTTCTTCTTCTTAAATAATACATAAACACATGCACACCTAAAAACCATCAAATAGCAAAGGCAAGCATCCCACGTGCAAATGAAGGGCAGATCCAGGACCTGGGACGAACAGACAGACAGACAGACAGACAGTCTTTATCCTGTTGTGTCCTCGGCACAAGCTTTGTTTCATTGCTTTTAATACAAGGTGCGTGTAAGACATTCACAAACACTGAGCTAATGCCAAGGGAGCTGTTTGGAGAAAACTCAAGCAATGTAAATATTCACTATCTGTGGTTAAAAACACCATGAAAAAGAAAAACATTGTGTTATAAGGGATTCTTAGAACCCTGACTTGCTTGTACTGTTGCCAAAGGGCTTTCACCCAACTATGACCTGACCTGCTGAGTATGGAATTTAGATGTTTCTGGTGCTCAGAGGTCTAGACTATCCCAAATCCATCTACAGGACTACATGTGCTCTCTCTTCAGACAGGAAAACAACGAAACAGGGGCACCGCTGGACCTGCTCACCAAGACCCACAATCTCAGTCTGAGGTACCTGACATACACAGTTTCTAACATCATAAAAAGAAACATTTGCATATTAATTATTTCCATTTTTCCGATGAGGTAATTTTTAAAGAACATGATAAAGATAAACAGATTCACAATCCAAGTGTCCAAGACTACCAATGAGGATGGGGTAGAGGCTGAGGGCCAGCACACTCCTACATGTGCACTTTTTCTTCCACACAACACAATGATTACATCGTTCTTTAAATAAATACTCTTGCCCTCAACCCAATTTGAGATCTGTGCTTCCCTAAGCTGGCTGGGAAGCACAGGAGAATGGGGCATGCCAAGAGGCTCTGTGTCAAAATGATTCAAGGGAAGAAAACTCTCTTCTAGATGGTCGTGATCTGCATTACCTCCATTTTGGCCACTTCCAATAGCACATACCTGTGGCCCCAAGCCCTATGAAGCCTAGTGTATTAAAAAGGCAAGGTACATGCAGTGACCGGTAATCACAAATGGACACTTTTCAGAGTGTGCCAAAATATTGCCATTATTGTTATTACTGTATCATATATTAAAGAGGTTTTAAGGTATCTGAAGTGTTTCATTAATGTTTTCTTTTATGTATAGAAACCACCACCCATCTCTCAGTTTGCCACACTGTTCTGCATGTTGCTGTGATGCAGGAAGCTGTGCCACAGGGTTTTCAAAAGCCAGCAGGGTCACCCAGGCTGGGCAGGCTTCAGCAGAACTTCGAGACTAAAAGGAAGGGGAGGGGAGGGGGCCTTCTTAAAAAGAAGATGAAGATCCTCAAGGACACGGAGGACACCATGGTTGCAACAATGGGCACAGACAATCACAGCTGTGAGGATGGCACAGGACCAGGCAGTTCTGTTGTGCCCAGCGTGCTGAGTCACCGCCAACAGGATAGCACCTAACAGAACACATAGAAAATACAGACTTCGGAACAAAATTCACTCCTAGTCTGGGAACTGCCTGTATATGCTACATCTGCATATCCAAATCACCTAACATCCTATGTCACAGAACACACCACGGATGTTAAGAACGATGCATGCCTATAGTTCTTCTCCTTCCAAGTGGCTTATCTGAAGCAAAAAACTCTGTAGATTTTCACGGTAAATTGTGAGACTTGGAAATGGGAAAATCATTTCAGAGAAAAGCTGTGACTTCAATGGGTTCGCCAATGTCTGCCACACGAAGAGTCAAGATGATGATATATTTTCCTCCCAGAATGGTGTGTTGTAGTCCTTATCTTTTGATTGCGTCCGATAAAGTATCCCGAAGATGTAAACCTATGACCATGGCCCAACCTGGTATTTTAACTGTTAAAATAATAATAAAAAGCAAAGATATAACAAAAATAGTGCCAATAATAATAGCCACAGTTGACTGGCATGAACCAGACACTGTCAGAAGCACTGTGTATATACATATTTCATGTCATCAAACCCTTATAAACAGTGCAGGGAAACTGATGGCATCATATAAATGACATCAGTGATAGATGAGGCCTGAGATCCATAGGCTTAGCTCTTTATCCTCATTCTAGCAGCTATTAATTGGCAAGTCAGGATTCAGACAAGATCTGATTCTAGAACCCATAAATTTAACTACTACATCTGTGAGGGATTCAGAAAATGGTGGGGAAATCCCACAAGCTTTTCATTCCATTCTGCCCCCCTCCCCCACAAACTTTCTGGAGACTCTTGTATAGACAGTTTCTTTTTTTATCATTTTATTGGGGGCTCTTACAACTCATGGTAGTCGGGGGGAGGAAGCATTCAAGAACTAGAGGAAAACTGTACGTTTCATCATGGCGACACCGCACCATGACTGGCTCTTCTCCTCCCTGCATCCCTTCTGCAAGGAGATAGACAGTTTCTAAGGAAGAGGCAGGACCAGCCCTAGATTCCCGTCCCCGTGGAGGCCCAGGCGTGACTGTACACCTCAGCACTTGTGCTGGTCCCACTGCCAACCAAGTGTGGCGATCAAACGCACACGCGTGATGTCTTACTGGCTCCTTCAGATCTATCAGCGAGACCACAATCAACAGAAAGACCAAAGTCTGTGTGCTCATCACAGAGGAGCCCCGCGGTTGGAGAATAAAGAACATGTAGCCCAGTGCACTTGACCTCTTCCCAAGGCACACATACCAGTCCAGACTGAGAAACAGAATGGACATTCTGCTGCGATCCCTCAGTTGTTGAAAGGGTCATGTGGGATTCTTATGACAGGGTCACTCTGTCACGTTCCTCACTCTCCACATCCAGCTGGCTCCAAGATGACCAATCTGCCAACAGACTCGCCCTATGTGTTCTCTGATTGCCTGCCCCCCAGCCCAGCTGGATCTGTGCCTTCTGAGTTGCCAGTCCCGGACTGAAGCCAGGAGCTTCCTCCAAATTCTCCCTCTGACCCAGAAGCCCAAGCCAGCTTCTGAATGAGCAAAGGGTAGGGCAGCACACCCCATGGTCAGGGCTCAGATCAAAAGCCTGCTCTTCTGAGAAACCTCCTGTGGTCTCTGGTGGTACAGAAGATATAAGTTGGACTGCGATCCGCACCGCCGACAGTTCAAAACTACCAGTGTTCCAAGGAGAAGGACTTGACTTTCTACTCCCATAAACAGTTACGGTCTCAGCAATGCACAGGGAGGCACCGAGTCAGCACAGCAGGTTCTGTGATCTGTCAAGCGCCCTCCTGTGTGTAGATGAAGAACATTCAGATCGCTGCTTTTCTACCTCATCCGCCTGATGGCATGGCATTTTCAATCACTTCCTATGCATGTGAAAGTTGGGCATTGCATAAGGAAGATCGAAGAATTCACGTGGTTGAATTATGGTGCTGGCAAAGAATATTGCAAGTACCGTGAACTGCCAATGAAGAAGCAAATTTGTTTTGGCAGAAGTAGAGCTAGCATACTCCTTAGAGCCCAGCGACAGTGAGATTTATCTCCCAGACTTCAGACATGTGTCAGGAGAGAGCAGTCCCTGGAAGCACATCATGTTTGCTAAAGCAGACGGGCAGGGAGCGAGGGGAAGGCCTTTGACAGGATGGATCCACACAGCGGCTGCCTCGATGAGCTTGGACGTAAGAGGAGTCGTGAGGACGGCACAGGACTGGGCAGTGTTTCCCGGTTGGACACAGGGTCACAGTGCCTTGGGAGCACCTCTATGACACCCAACAACAGCATCCTGCTATCAGTGATCTCGGTGAGCCTAGTCACCCCTGGGTGTTTCTTCACAAATTAGGTTTCTGTCCTTCCAACCCCTATGAAATAGACCATGTACACCCTCTCTGCTCATTTTTACCAGCCCAAAGCACTTCACCTTCTGTTAGAATGGCTCACAAAACTCACACAAATTATTACCTGTAAAGCACTTCCGTTTACTTTGGTATTATAGCCAGAAAGGCTAAAAGTGTAGAGATGCATCGTGCAGGGTCCCAACAACACAGGGCTTCCACTGTCCCTCGGGACTTGCCTCATTCTCTCCCTTGTATAGATAGATGTTCTTGCCAATCCATGCGGCCTTTAAAGAGAGCCCCCAAGTTCCAGGCCCCCTAGTCACCTCAATGAACATGTATGACTCAAGCCTTAAAGCATAGCTATGGTGACCCAATTAAAGGACATTCATGATCACATGATGGTCCCTCTCCCTTCCTACAATAGTTTTCCTGGTATGGGGTCAGTGCACCTCCTTCTTCACTGGGTACATTAGAAATAAAACAACCCACACTCATCATCCGAAATGCCCCTGTATATTTAGGTTTATCATGTGCTGTGGTTTGGTGTGCAGCTGCCACACAGAAGGACTGAAGGGTCAGAGCATTCTAATTCCACTGCCTCTCAGCAAGAGAAAGATGGGTTTCACAAAAAGATTTACAGCTTTGGATACCCTACGGGGCAATTCTACCAACAATCTATTGAAAAGTCTTAACTTGCTTAGACTCCACCTGGAATTCAAGTCACCGTGTAGGCAAGCCAGCGCTGCCTTGTACCACTTCCATGGAGAGGCACACCAGGCATAGACTATGCAGAGAAAAGGCTGCCTAAGAGGTTCCCAGAGGAGTTGAAAAACCTGGACACCAGAGCGTGGCTCCATCACCAGGACTCTGCTCAGTTCTCCATCAACGAAGGGACATCACTGAGTCCACAACTCTTTTGTTAGCCTAGCAGTAGTCCTTTGACACATAATCCCTTTTCATTTTAACTGGCTTCGTACGTTTCCGTTTCCTTTAGAGACCTCTCAACTTCTTGAGGTGGGAGCGAGCTTTGTCCATCAACCGAACTGGGTGGCTGAATGTCCCCATGTGGCCAGGGCCATCGCCCCAGGGTCATCTGCGCCCTTTTCACTCTCAGAACCGCAAGATCACAATGTATCGTGTCCTCATAAAATGGTTGGGGTCAAAAAGATAACAATATTACCACTAACTTCTCAGGGAAGCAAGTTCCAAGGTAAAAACCCTGGGAATGCCTGGGACTCACGTTTGGTGGCCTTCTCTCCCAATTGTGTAAAGCACATCTATACATTTGTTGCCCTCATCATTCCCAAAATTTTCTTGCCTCTTGGGTTCCCGGAATCC